TTTGGGGCTACGATGCTTATGTCGATAGGCTTCGGTCGGAAAAGCTCGAACCCAAAGAGGAAAATTGTATCTTCATAGAATACCCAAACAAGACGATTGGGTATACCTTCTATCTCAGATCTGAGGGCAAAGTGTTTGTCGCTAAGAACAGGTCCTTTCTTGAGAAAGAGTTTCTCTCGAAAGAATTGAGTGGGAGGAAGATAGAACTTGATGAGATTGTTGAACCTTCACTTCAACCAGAGAGTAGCGCAGCACAGAAAGATGTTTCTATGGAAACTACGTCAGTTGAAGAGAAAGCTAATGATGATGATCATCAAGCTTCAGATCAAATTACTATCGAACCTCGTAGGTCGACAAAGGTGTGTACAACTTCTCGGTGGTAACCCTGTCTTAAAGGTCATGTTGTTGGACAACGATGAACCTATGAGCTATGAAGAAGCGATGGTGGGCCCGGATTCCAACAAATGGCTAGAAGCCATGAAATCCGAGATAGGATCCATGTATGAGAACAAAGTATGGACTTTGGTGGACTTGCCCGATGAACGGCAAGCCATTGAGAATAAATGGATCTTTAAGAAGAAGACAGACGCTGATGGTAATTAATGTCACCATTTGTGAAGCTCGACTTGTCTCAAAGAAGTTTCCGACAAGTTCAAGGAGTTGACTGTGATGAGACTCTCTCAATCATAGCGATGCTAAAGTCTGTTAGAACTATGTTAGCAGTTGCTGCATTTTCATTTATGAAATCAGGCAGATGGATGTCAAAACAAAGTTTCCTTGACGGTTTCTGTGAGGAAAGGTTGTATGTGATACAACCAATAAGTTTTTTTGTCAATCCTAAGGATGCTAAAAGGTATGCAAACTCCAGCGATCCTTCTATGGACTGGAGCAAGCATCTCGGAGTTGGAACATATGCTTTGATGAGGCGATTAAAGCATTTGGGTATATACAAAGTTTGCAAGAAACTTGTATTTGCAAGAAAGTGAGTGAGAGCACTACAACATTTCTGATAGGTATATATGGATGACATATTGTTGATCGGAAATGATGTAGAATTTCTAGAAAGCATCAAGGGTTGTTTGAATGGAGTTTCTCAAAGGAAGACATGTGTAAAACTACTTACATGTTGGGTATCAAGATCTATAGAGATAGATCAAGACGCCTGATAAGACTTTCACATAGCACATACCTTGACATGATCTTGAAGGAGTTCAAGATGGATCAGTCAAAGAAGGAGTTCTTGCCTGAGTTGTGAGGTGTGAAGTTAAGACTTGAAGGTCAACCACGGCAGAAGAAAGAGAAAGGACGAAAGTCGTCCCCTATGCCTTAGCCATAGGCTCTATACGATATGCCATGTTGTGTACCGTGATGTGCCTTGCCACATGTCTGGCAAGGGGGTACAGGAGTGATCCAGGAGTGGATTATTGGACAGCGGTCAAAATTTTCCTTAGGAATAAGGAAATGTTTCTCGTTTATGAAGGTGATAAAGAGTTCGGCGTAAAGGGTTACGTCGATGCAAGCTTTAACACCTATCCGGATGACTCTGAGTAGCAACGGATACGTATAGTGGAGCAACCATTTGGAATAGCTCCAAGTGGAGCATAGTAGCAACATCTACAATATGAAATCGAGATTTGCGAAGAACACATGGATCTGAATGTTGCAGACCCATTGACTGACACTTCTCTCGTAAGCATAACATGATCAAACCCTAGAACTCATTGAGTGTTAATCACATGGTGATGTGAACTAGATTAATGACTCTAGTAAACTCTTGGGTGTTAATCACATGGCGATGTGAACTAGATTATTGACTCTAGTAAACTCTTCGGGTGTTAGTCACATGGCGATGTGAACTATGAGTGTTAATCACATAATGATGTGAACTAGATTATTGACTCTAGTGCAAGTGGGAGACTGTTGGAAATATGCCCTAGAGGCAATAATAAAATGGTTATTATTATATTTCCTTGTTCATGATAGTTGTCTATTGTTCATGCTATAATTGTATTAACCGGAAACCGTAATACATGTGTGAACACATATCATAATATGTCCCTAGTAAGCCTCTAGTTGACTAGCTCATTGATCAATAGATGGTCATGGTTTCCTGACCATGGACATTGGATGTCATTGATAACGGGATCACATCATTAGGAGAATGATGTGATGGACAAGATCCAATCTTAAGCGTAGCACAAGATCGTGTAGTTCGTTTGCTAAAGCTTTTCTAATGTCAAGTATCATTTCCTTAGACCATGAGATTGTGCAACTCCCGGATACCGTAGGAATGCTTTGGGTGTACCAAACGTCACAACGTAACTGGGTGGCTATAAAGGTGCACTACAGGTATCTCCGAAAGTGTCTGTTGGGTTGGCACGAATCGAGACTGGGATTTGTCACTTCGTATGACAGAGAGGTATCTCTGGGCCCACTCGGTAATGCATCATCATAATGAGCTCAATGTGACTAAGGAGTTGGTCACGGGATCATGCGTTACGGAATGAGTAAAGAGACTTGCCAGTAACGAGATTGAACGAGGTATGGGATACCGACGATCGAATCTCGGGCAAGTAACATACCGATAGACAAAGGGAATTGTATACGGGATTGATTGAATCCCCGACATTGTGGTTCATCCGATGAGATCATCGTGGAACATGTGGGAGCCAATATGGGTATCCAGATCCCGCTATTGGTTATTGGCCGGAGAGATGTCTCGGTCATGTCTGCATGGTTCCCGAACCCGTAGGGTCTACACACTTAAGGTTCGGTGACGCTAGAGTTGTTATGGGAAATAGTATGTGGTTACCAAAGGTTGTTCGGAGTCCTGGATGTGACGAGGAGTTCTGGAATGGTCCGGAGGTGAAGATCGATATATTGGACGAAGGGTATTGGAGTTCGGAATTGTTCCGGGGGTACCGGGTGACTACCAGCGTGTCCGAAAGGGGTTTCGGAGGCCCCGGGAAGCGTTGGGGGGCCTTATGGGCCAAGGGGAGGGGGACATCAGCCCACTAAGGGGATGAGCGCCCCTCCCACCCCATCTCACGTAAGCTGGAGAGGTGGGGGCGCCTCCCTAGGCAGCCACCCCTCCCGGCTTGGGGGGCAAGTTTCCTAGGGGTGGGGGCGCCCAAACCCATCTAGGGTTTCCCCTGTGGCCGCCGCCCCTCCCCTAGGGAACCCTAGGGCGCCTCCTCCTCCTCCTTCCCCTATATACAGTGAGGGAGAGATAGGGCAGCCGCACACTTCCCCTGGCCCTCCCCTCTCCTACACCTCCTCCTCCTCCGTAGCGCTTGGCGAAGTCCTGCCGGAGAACCACGAGCACCATCACCACCACGCAGTCGTGATGTCGGAGTTCTCCCTCAACTTCTCCTCTCCCCTTGCTGGATCAAGAAGGAGGAGACGTCCCCTGGTTGTATGTGTGTTGAACGCAGAGGCACCGTTGTTCGGCGCTTAGATCGGAATCGACTACGATCTGCGTGTACAACTCCACCAACCGTGTTCTTGTAACGCTTCCACTTAGCGATCTTCAAGGGTATGAAGATGCACTCCCTCTCTCTCGTTGCTAGTATCTCCTAGATTGATCTTGGTGACACGTAGGAATTTTTTTTGAATTATTGCTACGTTCCCAACACGGCCAGGACAAACAAGCACCTGCCATGATCCAAGAGTAGTAATCCATGTTTGTTAGTGTGCCCGTCCGAAAATATTGTGTGTATAAATGTATGCTTATGCGCATGTCTGTGTGCCACTGTTATGACTACACGTGCATGTTAATGTGCTTATGAGTATGTTTGATAATGTGGTTATGCATATGATTGTTAATGTAGTTGTATCTGTGCTTGATCATAGTCATGCAAGGGACCAAACACCCTATTTGTCAATGAATGAACTGGGTATGAATGAACCATCTATGATACTTTGCAATTCATGCGCCTTCAGAGATCTAAAGATACAAATAGGGGGGAGGAGTCTGCCTGAATGGTTGTCCCGTCGCTGTCAAAACCCAGCACAATATGCGATACTCACAAGACATGAGCCCTTGGTAAAAACATCTTGCATGTACAAATTAATTGCCTCATTTATCGAATGCATATATATTTTGCACCATGACTGCAACGAGGTGTCGCGGCGTGAAATGTCATAAATCAAGATCATGCTATGTGCATAATTCATAAAACATGATCATCGTAGCTTGCTTAAATTTTCGGTTGCAATTTGCCAATGCGTCCTGGGCACAATGGGTCATCTAGTTTTATAGACAAACACATAGTCTTGTCTTGAGATTGGAGAGTTCTTGCTACCTTATTCTTATGATTCCTCGTGGAGTTCATCCTGATGCATTCTCGACGACTTGAGTGCGGTTGTATATTTTTTTCATGATCGACTCGCGGATTGCATCAAATTAGTGCCCGGAGACTTGAGCGTCGTTATTTGGGTTAGTGCGCAGATTGTGAACTGGCGGTCCACTCGAATCACGGGCTACCGTTGGCATCCTATTCCTCCTGTCATAGTGCCTTGTTTATCCCGGCTACCCACAATTGATCATCTCATTCAATATTTGATCCTACAACATGAAGATTGGGCTGCCCTTTGCGCACCTCTCTCCGAAGCGAGTACGTATGCCAAATGGTCTAAAAAACATAGCTAGTATTCATCATTGATTTCTTTTAGAATATAATCATACAACATTATAAAATTCCTTTTTTTAGATAACCACATAAATATGATTATTTCACGTTGAATCTAAATATTGGTTTAAATGTTTATTTGATCGAAAGTCTAGGATGTCATGTTTTTTGTATTGGAGGAAGTATAGTTTTACAAACATACTCATGTAAAAAAAATTCAAAGTTTTATACCAGGGACTAGTTGGTAATTAAATGACGCACACTTAATAATACAATTAACATAACCATGCTAACAAGTAACAAACACATGCAAAACAAGCATAGAAACACCGAGCGCAGTCGCTGACGTATCCAATCGGTCTGGGCCGATCATATCTCGTCCATGAGCTCTTGGAAAGTGTCCATGGCGGACGCCGGCAGGCCGAGCAGCACGTTGATGCTCTTCCTCTCCTTGCCGTGCGCGAGGAAGAGTATGACCTCCTTCTCCGGCAGCGTGACTGGCCCGGACATGGTCGGCTCGCCCCAGCCGAAGTCGGCGCCGTTGAACGCGAGCCGCGACCACGTGGTGATGAGCAGCGTCGACGCCAGCGATGGCCGCGAGCGCGTCGCCTCAAAATAGTCCACCGCCGACCGCATATACTCGTCCGTCACCATCCGCACGGCCTCCTGCACCTTCCCGGCCGCGCGCGACACCGGCGCCGACAGCAGATCCCCCGCCGTCGCTAGGGCGTTGGTCAGCACGATGCCGTTCCCGAAGTACCCCTTTGGGAGCGGAGGCACGAAGCGGCGGCGCCCGTCCACGGCGAACAGCAGCTTCGTCTGCTGCTCCGGCGCGAGCCCCAGCGCGCGGGTGCGAGCGCGCCAGACGAGGCCGGAGAGCGCCTCGAAGGTGGTGCAGCGCTCGAGATCCCCGTCGGCGAGGGCGAGGCCGCGGACGCGCTCAAGCCTGTCCGGGTCGAAGCAGAAGGAGCGGTACACCAGCTCCTGGCCGCCGTAGAGCGCCGCCATTTCCGAGACGTCAGCGATCTCCTCGAACTCGTGGTGCGGGTTGGAGATCACCGGAGGGTCGCGCGCGCGGAGCACGGAGCGGTCGAGGAACGGTGGCACGGTGAGCTCCGTGGCGCCGCGCGCCATCTCGGCCCAGGAGTTGACGAACTCCATGGCGCCCAGACCGTCGAACATGCAGTGGTTCATGGCCAACCCGATGCTGAAGCCGCCACATTCAAACCTGGTCACCTGCGAATTAAATTGACCAATGGTAAAACTTCAATTATTTTACTGACTCCCGGGGTGATCCTCTTTTCGAAAAAAGTTTTAAGTCAAAGTAAGTAATACTACGAACTTTGTCAAAGAAACTACACAGTTCGAATTCATTATCGACAGTTCAAATTCATTAAATTTGCAGCAGACGTGTTTTGACTAATTTGGGTGTTCGACGTATCAATGTTAACTACTAATTTGGTGCAACTAATCTTGTGTGAGTTTTGGACCCTAGCTGCATGCACTACATGACTGGATTAGTTAGTGAATGACATGTGCCTGTCAATGTATCATGAGGTAGCTCGACAACTAAAACTAAACGGATGGTATGATTTGGTTGATTTATAGGTAGAAGTGGTTGGGCTAACAATGTAGAACAAAGTCCCTATAAAAAATACAATGTATCAGTAAAGAAATATTTGTCCGAAGAAAACATATTTGGATTTAGCAAAGCGGGTAGAACTGAAGAAACCATTGTATTTCTACGAGGAAAACATATTTCTGGCTGCCCCACTGAACTCACTTTTCAACCCCAAAAGCTATTGAACTCAAATTTGTTCAACCCTTGAGTAGTAGTACTAGCCAACCAATACTAATTTCAATTATTGGAGTCACGCGCGTTGCAGGCAGTCCGTTTCCAAGTTACTTGCCGCTGGCAAGTCCAGAATGCTTCCTGTTCCTTTGAAAAGAAAAGGGCGCAAGGCTCCACGCCGCCATTAAAAGCGCAGCTCAGGGCAACGCACCCCGGCATCGGCAATGCCCGACTCGGCAACGGAGGGTGACGGAAATACGCAGTTAATGCATGCCTCTGCGCTCGAGCGCGTGCGAGTGGCGTGGCGTACCTGCGCCGTCATGGGCGGCATCTCGAGGATGCTCTTGGCGCCGGGGACGGAGTACACGAGCTGGCCCAGCGCGGCGGGGTCCGGGGTGGAGAGGTCCCCGATGAGGGCGAGGTCGCAAGCGGCCTCAGCCTCCACGAACGGGACGCCCTCGCCGGTGCACTCCACGATGAGCTTCATCTCCGGGCTGATGCCGAGGCGGCCGGCGAGCGGGTGGTAGTGGACGAGCACGCGAGCCAGCGCGGCCCGGAGCGCGTCCGCGGCACCTTCGTTGCCGCGGCCCGATGGGCACTTGAAGCAGTACACGGTCTGCACGATCACCGCGATGTTCTGGTCCAGGTTGGACAGGTAGTACTGCTCCCCCGTCGGCGTGGCCTCCGCCGGCGACACCAGCGTCGGCTCGCCGCGCTTCACCGACATCAGCTGCACCTTGCTGCCCGCCATGGTGGCCACGCCGTTCTGCTTCGCCTCCGCAACCTGCACGTACGCATAACATGACACAAGAAGAAAGTGTCAGACACGAAAGTTTACATGCATGTGTAATCAGCGACGGGCAATTGAGTTGGTATTGCACACTCACCATTTTGATGGTCTCTCTGAGTGTAAGGACAGACAGAGATTTGTGGGTTTAAAGAGGGAGAAAATACAGAGGAGGTGTGTGGGTTCTGTGTTTTGAGGTGATGAGTTTGTGGGGAAGTGTTTATATAGCGAAGGGTAGCTTGCTTGAGGTGGTCAAGGTTAGGATGGGCTGATGCAAGAACCGTTGGGGTTGGAGGGGTTGCATAACAACCAATGCTGTTCTGCCTAGGGCTTGGATTAATGAATTTGTACAGGAGAATCAGGACAAGGAAACACGGCTTGTTTAGGAGCAATTGTTGGCGTATATGGTTATCATGTTATGTACAGCTATTAACTCATGAGCAGTCTATAAAAGCATGATTAAATAATATAACCAGTTGTTGGCTGTAGCATGTTATCATGTCATCTATAGCTAATGTAATAGTCAACATGTGTAGTAGTAGTTAGCTACTAGAAAAATACTTAACATATGATCCACCTTCCACTCTCAAAATTTCATAGAGCTCATGCTACAGCCGATTGTAAATTCACGATCCAATTCTCTTCTCTTTCCTCTCATCTCTCTTTCAACTCAGCAAAACATCATTTCAAAAAAAAAACTCAGCAAAACATAATATATCCTTATAGCCCGTTTACATCACCTTATTTTACTTGCTCTAATAAGGTTGTCTATAAGATCTTCGATAGTAGGGATATCATAGGTAGTATCATGCAACCTCATGCAATATCCACTAGGTATATTGATGACATGTCATAGCATTAATCCTCTGTAACACTAAGCTCACTAGTTTTAAAGAGCCCATATTTAATTAAGGTCTCCAATTAGAATTGGGTCTTAAAGATCTCTCATTCAATTCTTTTATACTATATATTATGCTTCCTAATTTTTTAAGTCTTCACAATTAATTGAGGTATTCAGAATTGGGTCATCCGATTCTGACCAGGTCAACAATTTCTCAAACTCTCCCATTCAATTATTTTAATTCACTATATTCTCTAATTCTGAAGCTCTTTCTTTCAATTGAGATATTCAATTGTGGATTTGGTTTACGATTTTGATCGGGCCAACGGTTTTTCAATTCAATCAACATCAACCGGGTTGTAAAAATATATCAATCACGCGCACCCTCCCACCACCTAGAAAAAAGAAGCGCCATCATGTAATATTGTAGTACAAATATAGTATATGCAAGCGCCGACACATAAATTTCCCCACATCAATATAAGTTGCTTAGCAGATAACACAGAATCACACCAAGAAAGGCCCACCGAATCAACGCATTATAAATAAAAAACACACTCTATCGTCTCCCCCACCCGTCAAACTAAATATTTCTTCAGTTCTAAAATATAAGGGGTATTAGTCTTTTAGAAAGTCAATTTTTTTTATCTTTGACCATGTTCAGAGCAAAAATACCGACATCCACAATATTAAACAAAAAAGTATGAAAATTCATTTCATGATGAATCTAAAAATACCGATCCCGTAAAGAAATATAATAGCAATTAGATTACTACTTTTGTGATCCAAATGCTCTTATATTTCTTTACAGAGGGAGTAATACACTTTGTATTTTGAAACAAATTGATTTTTTTAAAGAAACCTAACAACACCAACGGCACAACAAGGAGCGCCTAACTCTTCTAGTTATTATTATTTTGCATCAAAGCTAGGACTTTATTAATGTATGAAAATTCTTTTACAATCAGCTCACAAGCTTTGAACCAGAAAGTTTGGGTTCTCAAACTGCCAGCTTTGTGTCACCTCTAGCTTGCAAGCAGGCTTTGCACAAAGGTGTGCAGAAACATTTGAAGACGTGGGAACATGTTGAATTGAGAATGAAGCAAAGCTCAGGGTGTGATTCCCTAGTTATTGTAGAATAGGCGCTGCAGTTGAACGAGAATTATGGCACAAAGTCCAGAGGTTGGCAACCTCTAAGCAGTCTACCTTCATGATCACATGTGATAGACCACGCAGATGTGTAAATATTACACCCTCATGCATATCCCATAGTTTAGCTGTTAGTGGGTCTGTTACTCTAGCGAAGGGCTTGCTCCCAGCACCAATAAAGGCAAGGCGGGCTCTGGCAATGCCTCCTCTCCCCCCTACTCCCTTTGTAGTTATAAGGTCACGAGCAATGAATGTGTTGATTTTCACCCATCCCAGGCCAGTGGTCTCTCCATAGCTGGCCGACTGTGTCGATGGGCTATGGTCGTGGAATTTCCATCAACTAGAGCATTTCATGTGCCCACTTCACAGCATGCACCCATAATTCGGTAAGAACAAAAAAAACACTGGATACAACTAGTGGCTCGAAAAGAGCATTGGAATAGCAATGAAACAACTACAACAAGCTCAAGAGTTCCTGTGAACATCATGAAGGAGTTTGATCTTGTTAAGGATGTCTGACACCGCTTCGCAGTCCTTCCTCTTCCTTAGTGGCCGCCATTGCTGAAAGAATAGAGACCATTTGAAGATATAATTAGCAGGGGTGAGTAGGGATGGTCCCCTCAATGACAAGTTTGTCATGGTCTCGCCGATATAAGATGTATGTAGATATGCATGTGTGTATGAGTTCGATGAGGAGACAGTCGTGCCGATATAAAGATGTAGTTCATATTTGGCATGTCGTGAGATGATTAATCCCATTTTTATTTTTTTATTTTTTAAACATTAAATATAATATTGGTTGTATATATGCAAGTTTCATGTAACCTGTCTGAAAACCGTATTGTGGTCTAAAAATTGCATTAACATATAGTTCTTGCATATTATAGAACGGCGCAATTTCTACACAGTCTGCCTATAAAATTTATCTCTTTATTTTATTTTATTTCTACATTTGTTGACCAAAAACAGTAGGAAAACCCCCCCTACTGTGAGCCTTTTTATTTAGAATTAGTGAGGTAGTTGTACAAAGATCATCGAATTAGTTACATGGGCCAGGAGGGAGGCTATAATATAAATTTATTACACACTATCAATCCAGGATATCATTCCCTCCTTGATACTAGGCTTAGCCCTGATCATGGTTAGGTGGAAGATGTTCTGAAATCATGCTTGCAAGCATCAATGGAATAATGTTTGTTTTCTAATATCATGCCATTTCTTTGGTTCCAAATGCTCCAGCATCCAATGATGAGTATTTCCATGAAGAATTCCATTTGATATCTTTTCCTAGCATCAATGAGCATTCCATTGATGTTTCCACCAGAGTTCCATTCCATACTAATGCTCCACCAAAAACCTTAGCTGAAGGAGCAATTGAAGAACATATGCATAAAGTCTTCCATATTATAGTCATGACATAGGAGCACATTGGGTGTTGTCAAGTTGGAAATTCTTCTTGGTGAGCATCTCACATGTGTTGACTCTGTCATTAAGCATAAGCCAACAGAAAAAATTGTGCTTAGGCCAACAACATGACTTCCAGATCCATTTCAATGGTTGAGGTGCAGATGTAGAGCCAATCAGAGAATTGTATATATCTTCTTGGTGTTGAACTTAGTGTTACCCCACATATGGTTGCGAGTGTCCTGATTATGATTGTGTCTGATGTTGCCAAGTTGTGGTGCTAAGTGATGGAATTATTGATGAGCAATTACACATAGTGGTAGCTGGAATAAGTTATAGCAATTATCAACTTGCTTGGCTTTTCCAATAGAAATATCATCATCAAAAGCAAATGAGTGTAACTCGGGATATTTCCTCATCATGGTGGAGTCATTCCAAACATTTTTTCATAGTAGGGTAGTGTGACTTTGCATGATGTCAAACCTCTATATAGACTAGTTAGACTTAAGCAATCTCTCTCCACTAGAATGATCCTTTATTTCTGCATGCATGTGGAACTTCATTGTTGGAGTAATGCTTGCCAAATTAGATTAATCCATACATTTTCTTTGTTTTTAGGGTAACATCAATGCCCCTAAATCATTCTATCTTAGAATAACTTTTGTTTTTATTTGTAATTTTTGTTTTCTAGTAACGGTTATGTGTATTGGAAAGAAAAAGTGATTGTGGGTATCGTACACATGTTGTGCAATCGGTAGTTGTAACCAAGTGCACGACCACATGTGTTAACTAACACAAATTTTTACATATACATATATAGTTTTTGTGTATTATGGAGCAGTGCAATTTCTACATAATATATGTACAAATTTGTGTTTTCTTTCCTTTTTTTGAGAATACTTTCTCTTTTTTATGGTAACATCGAGCCCCTAATTCATTTGACCTTAGAACAATTTTTGTGTGTGTTTGCTTTTGTCTTTTAGTTTATGACTATGTACCCTTTTGTCGCCATTGTCATCAACACCCATAACTCACTCTTACTGTGCCCGTCAACTTTGGGATTCTTCGCCGCCTAGCCACGCGCCATGCCGCGTCTAGCATCTCGCTCTTCGCGGACGATGTGGTCATCTTCTACCACCCAGATCCAGCCGAGTTGCACACTCTCTGTGAGCTCTTAGAAACTTTCGGCCATGCTTCTGGTCTCCACACCAATTTCCTCAAATGCTCGGCAACCCCGATCTAGTGCGCGCATGAGGTTGCCACCGAGGTGGGCACGCTCCTCAGATGCCCTGTCTCCGCCTTCCCAATCAAATACCTCGGCTTGCTGCTCTTAGTTCGCAAGGTGTCCTCCGCCTCTCTAATACCCTTGGTCGATCAGCTGGTGAGCAAGTTGGCCACCTAGAAGGCCTCTCTCCTCTCTCACGGGGAGCGCCTGGCCCTGGTCCGGCACATAATCTCTGCTATGCTGGTTCATGTCTTGATTGTGATGGCCCTGAACCCCACTATCCTCAAGCTGGTCACGCGCATTATCTGTGATTTCCTATGGCAGGGGCAAGGATGTTAAGGCTGGCCATTGCCTTGTCAATTGGGCCAAACTTTGTCGCCCCTGCAGTTTGGAGTGCTCCGAACCAGGTGGCTCTGGCTTCAAGCAACCAATACTTCTCGGCCCTGGCGGCACTTGCGTCTTCCTTGCGAACCAGAGGTGCAAC